TTTCCAAAATGCCAAATGAAGCCTTGGACCTGGAAGGGGAATAGTGGGAGGATATGAGGCATGTCAGCAATCAGCAATGGTCATGTTTCTTTGGGTGATGACGATGGCTGTTTATAATTCCCACACATTTCATGTTGACCTAGTCATGAAAGAGCAGATAGAGGCTCGGAGATTTTACAACAGAGCTGGAGAAGACAAAAATGCAGCTAAACATAATGGGTTTGGAAAGAAGCTGCGTGGGAAGGGGCGCAACTCATGGCCACAGCTGCAACTTTCCCCAGAGGACTGGAGGAGCTCGTCTAATAAAGGGCTGTAATCAAGTCACTCATAATACCCGTCCACACCCACTGAGGCCAACTTGCCAAAATACCTCTTTCATGACACATGATTTAAGAAAAACAATGCATATATAAATGTACAAGAAACAATGATAAATTAGCCAGCGTTTTGCTCAGTGATGCACCATGTGACATCAAAACATAGCGTGCAGTAGACAGCTAACGCCAGATGTCATGCCACAGGAGAGCTTGTGAAAAAATAACAAGGTTAATAAAGGTCATCAGATGCCTCCAGACAGGCTTTCGTGTAAAACGTTGCAGTAAATGCCTTTTGACGTGTGCAACAGTTTGATGGTGAAAACTCCATAAGCGTGACTGAGATCTAAAGCGGCTGTTGTGGCTGAGGAGCTGTTCCTTAGTGCTGGGCAACGAGTGAACAGCAAAGGTGCCACAGTCACATGGGAGCCCTTTGATGAGGAGACATCTGTTGGGCCATGGCGTCCTTCCCTCAGAGACAGCGGAGAGTAGACCAAGGCCATGACTCAGGTCTGCACCAGCTGCTGGGACATGACTGGATGCATTTCACGTTTTTCCCTCTGACTCCTATCATGCTCAGTGGTGCTAATACACCGTTTCCATCAAATCCACAAATAACGCACAGATGAATGGTTTTCCGGTTATGATCTGGCCTTTTGAGCATACATGGGCAAGAGTCAACAGATGGATCAATAAGAGTGTTAATCTAGACATCATACAGATCTTCACATACAGGTCCTTCTCACAAAATTAGCATTTTGTGATAAAGTTCATTATTGTCTGTAATGTACTGATAAACATTAGACTTTCATACATATTAGATTCATTACACACAACTGAAGTAGTTCAAGCCTTTTCTTGTTTCTAATATTGATGATTGTGGCGTACAGCTCGTGAAAACCCAAAACTCCTATCTCAAAAAATTAGCATATTTCATCCGACCAATAAAAGAAAAGTGTTTTTAATACATAAAAAGTCAGCCTTCAAATAATTATGTTCAGTTATGCACTCGATACTTGGTCGGGAATCCTTTTGCAGAAATGACTGCTTCAATGCGGCGTGGCATGGAGGCGATCAGCCTGTGGCACTGCTGAGGTGTTATGGAGGCCCAGGATGCTTCGATAGCGGCCTTAGGCTCATCCAGAGTGTTGGGTCTTGCATCTCACAACTTTCTCTTCACAATATCCCACAGGTTCTCTACGGGGTTCGGGTCAGGAGAGTTGGCAGGCCAATTGAGTACAGTAATACCATGGTCAGTAAACCATTTACCAGTGGTGTTGGCACTGTGAGCAGGTGCCAGGTCATGTTGAAAAATGAAATCTTCATCTCCTTAAAGCTTTTCAGCAGATGGAAGCATGAAGTGCTCCAACATCTCCTGATGGCTAGCTGCATTGACCCTGCCCTTGATAAAACACAGTGGACCAACACCAGCAGCTGACATGGCGCCCCGGACCATCACTGACTGTGGGTACTTGACACTGGACTTCAGGCATGTTGGCATTTCCCTCTGCCCAGTCTTCCTCCAGACTCTGGCACCTTGATTTCCGAATGACGTGCAAAATTTGCTTTCATCTGAAAAAGTACTTTGGACCACTGAGCAACAGCCCAGTGCTGCTTCTCTGTAGCCCAGGTCAGGCGCTTCTGCCGCTGTTTCTGGTTCAAAAGTGGCTTGACCTGGGGAATGCTGCACCTGTAGCCCATTTCATGCACACGCCTGTACACGGTGGCTCTGGATGTTTCTACTCCAGACTCAGTCCACTGCTTCCGCAGGTCCCCCAAGGTCTGGAATCGGTCCTTCTCCACAATCTTCCTCAGGGTCCGGTCACCTCTTCTGGTTGTGCAGCGTTTTCTGTCACACTTGTTCCTTCCCACAGACTTCCCACTGAGGTAGGTGCCTTGATACAGCACTCTGGGAACAGCTGATTCGTTCAGAAATTTCTTTCTGTGTCTTACCCTCTTGCTTGAGGGTGTCAATGATGGCCTTCTGGACAGCAGTCAGGTCGGCAGTCTTACCCATGATTGTGGTTTTGAGTAATGAACCAGGCTGGGAGTTTTTAAAGCCTCAGGAATCTTTTGCAGTTAATTAGTTGACTCAAATGATTAGGTTAATAGCTCGTTTAGAGAACCTTTTCATGATATGCTAATTTTTTCAGATAGGAGTTTTGGGTTTTCATGAGCTGTACGCCAAAATCATCAATATTAGAAACAATAAAAGGCTTGAACTACTTCAGTTGTGTGTAATGAATCTAATATATATGAAAGTCTAATGTTTATCAGTACATTACAGACAATAATGAACTTTATCACAATATGCTGATTTTGTGAGAAGGACCTGTATTTGTTTAATTATCTACATGGAGGTTGGGTAACTGAATCTGAAAATTACACACCCACTGAATGTGTCTCACCTGTAAATTTCATACACTGAATGAAATGCTACTAGCATTGTAGATTCACGCTTTTACCAAATATCCCTCTGGCTGCTCTCCCACTGGCTTCCCAGGACCGAGATCTTGTAGCAGTGCAGAGTTTTGCTGTCTTGTGAAATCATCATTAAAAGCAGTATGCATGAACACATCTGCGAGTGCATGAAGGCTGGGGGTGGGGGGCATAATTCTCCTCGTCATACCAGACAGCATTTCTATATCAGACATGCTAAACCAGATCACTGCAGAACACTAAGCCTGACAGCATTGCTTTAATATTGATGTCCCCTGCTGCTGCACCACAAATAAACCACCAACTTTCTGTAGCATAGGCTTAACTGGCAATTAGTTTGTAGGTTTGATTTAAAACTTAGCTTTCCATTGGAGTAGAAGATGGTTTTCATGTCAACATGTTGCTCTGCAGTAGCATAGCAGGTTCTAATTTAGGGAAATGTAATGGCCATCTAATATAGTGATTGGGGGGGGGGGGGGGGGGGGGGGGGGGGTACAACTGAAGCCAAAGATTGAAGCCAAATGAAGAGAAAAGCCATTGAATGGCTGAACGCATCCCAAAGAATATTTTGAGACACCAGTGATTTCATTCCGGTTCTTCACCAAGAGAAAAGTTTAACTCGTTCCTTTATACTTCCACGTGAGGGGAGGCAGTTCATGATTGCTTGGTAGATTTTAGTAGAAATATGGAAAGCTGTCAAGAGTTTAGAAACACTACGCCATCTTGTTATTTCTAACATGACAAGTCAAGATTTACCATATGGTATCAGGCACCACAGCCTGATAGGAATGTCGGCCGAAGGCGACAATGGAATGGACAACAGTGGTCGGCACTCTTAGTGACCAGATGCCAAAAACCTGATTGGAGGAGCGCTACTGTGATTTTTTTCTAAGTCTGCACTGGAAAAAATTATCTCCCAAAAACCGTGACCAAACTCAATGGGTCAAACTGAACAAAGAGCAAAGATTTACCAGATTAAACCAGAACTTCCAAACAATGGGGGTGAATTTACTGGCAATCGTACGATAGAAATAAAGATAATAAACTGTGAATTGCTTTATATTGGTCAATAAGGAAGTGTCATTTTATGTTCCTACTTTTAAGAGCATGATGCATCAGCCAGATGTGCGTACCTGAAATAGCATACACCTTTTTAAACAATTAAACTGTAGAATAACAGCACAACTCATTAAAACTGTTATGGAAGGGAGAGGGAGAATAAATATCGTATTTCCTGTCAAGCAGCATCCTCCAGGCTACTGCACCGCATCCTGCAAACCCAAACAGCTTGTATTCATCTCCTTTTCAGCTCTAAACAAAATAAAAGACAAAGTAAAAGAAAACCTGCTAATCGCTTTGAATGACATTCAAGAGCAATGTCACAACAATGGATTAGACCCGTTCCTGCTACTCATGGGCAGACTTCTTAAAATAAATCTTTATGACACACTTTAGCAGTCAAACGAGGGTCTGCCGCCTGCCTCTCACTCATGCGCGCTACAGAGATGACATCATGCTGGGTCAGACTGGGTTTTAGGGGTTTATCTACACCGACAGCCACCTACAAGCCTGCCTCTATTTGCTGATTTAAGCGAGCGAATGCATGCACGAGGTGGTTTTTTATTCAAATAAAATTCTCGTAAAATCAAAATAGAAAATGCTTAATGACGTTTTTACGTGTGGTAAACAAATGCAGCATCTTCCGACGTGTAACTGTAGAAATTGCGAGTATGTGCTCGCCGAGGGGGTGAAAGCAGAGTTGGAGTCATGTGCGGCGGACAGCCATTGTGACGACGCGTTGGTAGTAAAATCCCACTCACAACAATGAAAGACATAATGGAAGGTACCACGGCCGTTGTGGATGTCACACACACACACACACACACACACACACACACACACACACACACACACACACACACACACACACACACACACGCTGCATGACAAAGCTAAAAACCAACAACACAGACGACAAGTTCACGCAGCAGCATGCAGTCACCGCGTCGTGCCCGCAACCCCCCGCCGTACACTTCACAACAACCTGTCACCCGTAGGACCCGCGTACTCACCCCCTCTCTGGAGCAAACCAACGAGCGCAGCTGCTTCTCCGTCAGCTCACAACGTAAACATCCAATTTACGGAGCAGGTGCGGAGAATGAGCGGACCTGCACTTCGTTTGTGGCGGTTAACGAGCAAACCTACGCACTTAAAACGCACCGAGCGCTGCTCGGGGTCCGCACTCACCGCCTCCGTGGAGTCGAGTGGCGCCGAAACCAGAAGCCGAACAAAACCCACTCGATGTCGGTGGTCGTTCCCAACTCCATGTGCGACCTCTAAAGCCCCACTGTCGGGTTGAACCCACTTTTCGGAGCTCTGACGCGTAGCTACGGTAGTTTAGCCGCTGACACAGGAGGAAGTAGTGTCATTTTCAGTTCGCGAGCGCGAGGCTTTGGCACGAGCCGTTAACTGTCAAGGGAGGGAGGAGGGGGGGGGGGGGGGCAAACAGTGACAGCAGCAGCGTGACGACAGGAGAAAAAGCCGCTCACCTTCAGCTAAAGTCGTCCGGGTTGGCTTTAACGCATCCGTACTTCTGGAGTATTTAATCCCACTCTGGAGACGTCGGCGCGGCTTGGCGGAGCGCTGTCAGTCGGTCTCGACTTCCTGAATGACGGAGCAGCGGAACAAACCCCCCGCTGCTGGTTCTGACAGTTTCTCTGACAGGCGCCCGGAAATAAAGTTGTCTGCGAAGGGAGTTCCTCTGCCAGTGTTTGTTTTGTTACAAACAACTTTATATTAAATAAAATTATATGCGTGTTTGACTAAATAAAACGCGACGTAGACGTGTAGATGAGGCATGTCCCAACAGAGATGCTGCTTCAAACTAAAAGGCTGCAAACACAAACCAAAGCAGGGAGAATTCTACACCATATTTTCTTAGGAAGTCATTAAAAATGCATGAACTGAGTCATCCCGGTTCCGTTAGCTGCAAACCTGGTTTGTCCAGATTATAATCTGTCCAATGCTGCCATCTGATGGTGTACTGTAAAAGTTAATCTATTTAACAAATAAAATTATATTTACATGTGAAATGCTCAATAATTTGCTATGTAACTGCCTTTGGTCTGTATTTATTTATTTACTGGATTTTTTTTTATCAAAAGGTGCTATTACAACAGTAATTTTTATTTTCAATATTTTTTCATCATAATTTATTACATTTTCTCCCATTTTTTTAATCTTAATGTTTTTTTTCTTTCAGTTTTTTAAGCACTTTGTGATTCTTATCTTGAGAGGATGCTATACAAAAAATCCTTTCCAAGACGTAATGTTGCTGAAAAAGTGAGATTATCTTGACCTAAAACAAAACAAAATGCAACCAATTTGAAAAGCTAAATATATGGGAACCATTTCCTAAAATTAAAAAATATTGCCTCTCAAGCGTATTAAAAATAATTTTCCTTAGTATGCCATATTATTACTCTTTCGGGCATCAATGGAAAGGATTTTTTTTTTAAATAAAAGAGCTACACAAATTTAAGGTGACTGAAAACTTTTGCTAGGGATTCTGTTTAGAAATGCATGCACTAGTACAAAACAAATAGATGTTTGATTTGGAAATGTATTCTTTATTTACATGTTTACTGCATGATATTGACAGATGCATATAAACAAGAACAGTGATTGCTTCAACATCTTATTTTGAAAAGACACCACAGCTTAGTTAATCAATCTACAAAAATAACTAAGGTATACAACAAATACAGTTTTCGCTGTAAAATAATTATTAGACATTTCAGATGTCTAATATGCCAGTTTTAATAAACTGGTGGTCAAACACATATACTCGTTGCATTTTGTATATTGTATTAAAGATGAACATAATCGAAGGTGTGCTAGGTCATACGGCAAGTCGTCTTCTCCCTGTATTTCTGTGGAAAAGCGTTGTATCAATAAAAAATATTAATCAGTGGTTGCAGATGACTTTCAATGCACATTTAATATATTCTTGGCAAATATATGGTGCACAAGCCACTAATAAGCACATTATAATTTTTATGTGACAAATACATAAATAAAAACAGGAAGCAGAACAAAAACAAAAAGAAAGAAAATGATTCGTGACTAGGCTAACATTACATAATTTACAACAAGCACCCAGTCCAAGATTTAATTTATTCATTTATCGGCTATTTATCATGGAAACACTCTCAAAAGATTTAGCAACAGAGGCAATGATGTTAGGCATTTGACAGATGATACTTTTAATTTTTCGCAACAGACTCACTGATTTTTTTAAATAAACGTTTCTTTTATAAACCTTACTAGAAATAAAAAAACAAAACAAAAACAAAACAAATCTATCCCGGTTTGCGAAGTTAACGGTTTGCCTGATTTCACGAATGCCAAATGCTTAAGTTGTTTCAATGCAGAAAATGTTTCTGTCACTTGAATATCGTTAAAGAATCCTCAATTAGTCTACTCAAAATGTAATTTAAAAAAAAAAAGATATTCTTCTTTGGTTTGAAATGGAGATTTTGACCAGGCATATACTTGGACACCTTGAAGACTGGGGGTCCTACCAGTTGTAGGCGCAGTTTCAAGCAAGCAGCAAAACACAAATCGATAGTTTATTTTGTTTGTTTACATTGCCCGTACGAGCAAATGGCTTCCACATTAATTTCTCCTATAGTGGATTATTACAATGATGAAGAAGAGCTCGACAGTGTAGATGAAGATGATGATCGGAGTTTCCGGGGAAGGGATTCGGAAGAAGGTAAAGAAATAATACACGACAACCTCACTTGCCGTCGGGCTCTGTCTACTTGCTGGAGCAGAAACGGAAATTCGCGGTTGTTGCTTCAGTGTATCTATTTAGGGCAACTATTATACAAATCTACCATGCTTGAAGAAACAAATTATTAAGAGAATGTTTTAACAGTTTTGTTTGAAACCCTAGGCGGGGAGATGTGAAATCTTTGAGTCCGTTTCTGCCTTACTAGCACAATAGTTAGCTATCCACGCTAATCACTGCGAAAAGCAGCGAAAAATGAGTTTCTGGTGGCGTTTATCAGTAACACTCCAAGTAAACGCTTATTTTATTGTCAGCGTGTTTGATTATTTCTTTTACAAACTGTACATGAAATTATATTCTGTATGCACGAGCTTCTGGAAGTTTAGCAACAACGTTTTGCTCATTTTTTGTTGCAAAACTACCACAGTTTTAATAGTCTTTTACCACCAGATCAGATTGAGCAATACACAGAGCACGTTAGCTATTATTTTGACGTTGACGTCATTATTTACAAGCTATAATAATATTATTGCACGTATCTTGACGCAGCCTGCACTTTTTATGTCCCCCAGGTCTTTTCCCCAGACGGTGAACACATCGTTAATTAGCCAGTCGGCTACGTGACGTTAGCTTTGAGCGTTGACAGGTTGACCACTGCTCTGCCCTTTTCACTCCAGTCAGACCGGACGGTTAGCAGTGAAACAGACATCAAGAAGGAAACAAGGTCATGACAACACTACAAGGTTTGCTTTTGTCGCGACGCCGACTTTCAGACGGACATTGTTGATTATTCCCTGTTTTTCTCCGCATCAGATCTTTTTATCTTTAAACGTCAGAGCTAACCGGCTAGCACACGAATGCTAACTGAAAATGAAAGCTGCTGTGTCAGCTTAACTGGGCCTTCGTCACCTTTTTGTCCCAGGGTTGGAAGGTTAAAATCAGGCTGATCCGAGTTATCCAGCGCTTACAAACTTCACTCCTGAGTTTCCTTTAGCCGTCGCTTGTAAAAGGTGAAACTCGTCGGCGTCGCTGTCAGAGCTGTCAGAGGTCTGACAGATACACTGACCGAATCCGCCGGTCACTTCGCTGATTAATCGCACCGTGCGGCAAAAGCTCCACATCCAAACCAGCTGCCACCTCATCGATCGTCGTGTTTATGTGTTTTCATCGAACTTACATTGCTGGAAAAGTCGGCTCGGTTCGAGCCGAACTTTTTCTCCGGTCACTCGGCCAATGCGGGTTTCCCGTGTTCTCCTAATCAAACAAACCAGAGTGCATCCCGAGAAGGGTGTTCACCATTATCTCACCACTGCCACGCACGTCCCTCCGTGCAGGAGACCTGTCCTGCGTGTACAACGCTGTAAACATCACATGCTTCTGCTCTCAGACGCAGTAACGCACCTGGTGAGTGTTTTCGGGCTCACTGGAGAGTTTTAAAATGAAGTCTGCTTTTTCTCAGATACTGAAGATGCCAGTGAGACAGATCTTGCCAAGCATGATGAGGATGACTATGTGGAAATCAAGGAACAGTAAGATGTTTTAAATATAATCGTTATTTTTTCTAAAGTCTTGGTTTTTGCTTGTATTCATGACTTTTGTTGTGACCTGTTTCTTTTACAGAATGTACCAGGATAAACTGGCCTCTCTGAAAAGACAACTACAGCAATTACAAGAAGGTATAAATAACAAAAGTTAGTTTAAAACGCATTTCTTTGTTTGCAGATACTGTTTAAAAGTGCTTACCCTTTGCCATTAGCTGTATAATACACCAGTGTGCTTCCACATGAGTGCTTTTCTTGTGTGTTTAATGTGTTAGAAGTTAATCTTGGATACAGAACATTTTTTATTCCTTCTGCAGGCACATTGCAGGAGTACCAGAAACGGATGAAGAAGCTGGACCAGCAGTACAAAGAGAGACTCCGAAATGCAGGTAAGACCACACCGGCTGTTCTCACTTAACTGGTTACATGTTTGTGTCAACAAGCTCATTAGAGTTTCCTTTATGCTGTTTTATTACAACCAGACTGAATATGTACTGCACCGCCATCTGGTGATAAAAGCTTGCAGGCTGTGTTTATCTATTTGTTTGAAAATGTTCTTCCCCCCCCCCCCCCCCCCCCCAAATCTGAGGCTATGAGCATTTAGCAAACTTACTAAAGTCTTGTCTAACATTGTTTTTAGTTTTGTTGAAGAGTTTTTAAATGACAAAATTGTTTTAATTTTCACTTTACAGATTTATTCCTTCAGCTCGAGGTAAGCACGCCCAGCAAGGCATTTTTGCCAAGCGCTGTTTCTATTCTACTTATTTAGAATTGCAGCGTACTCCTGGCGTTTTTCTCCCGTCGTTTGGTTTCGTCCAGACGGAACAGGTGGAGCGGAACTACATCAAGGAGAAGAAGGCAGCAGTGAAGGAGTTTGACGATAAAAAGGTCGAGCTGAAGGAAAATCTAATCGCAGAGCTGGAGGAAAAGAAAAAGATGATAGAGAATGAGAAGTTAACAATGGAGCTGACGGGCGGTAAGGAAACCTGAGAGTGATTATTTGCCCTGAGAGGAAAATACTGGCAAAAGAGAGTGGATATGAGTTCCTGAACATTTAACATCGGGCTGGGCGATACGGACCAAAACTTTTATCTCTACCTTTGGGCAGAATTACAACATACAGTATATGTGGATGTTTGTCTTCCTGTAAAGTATTTGCAAGCTAACTTGCTGTATGAAGAAATTATATAAATAATTTCATCAGCAGATTAAATGCATCTTAAAATGAATGTACTCTGCTGCTGTCAGACATTAACCTTAGTGCCATTCTCATCAGTCTGGGCTCTGGAAACACTGGTACGGCTGTCTGTTGAAGAGCAAGTCACCCCCTACTAGAGTCTTAACTCCGCTCTCACTTCCTGTTTGAAAAATGCAAAAATGCTGTTGCCTAGCAGACCGAGAGGGCGGAGCCGCTAACAAATACACACACATAGGCTCACACTGACATTGTGACATCATATGGTACCAGCTGACGTTCTAGGGTACCTCTTAGCCAATAGGGATGGCAGATTTAAATTCAAAAGCAGTGCAGAGTTTTTACCTGACAACGGCACAACACTGACAGTTTTAGGCAGAATATTTAAATTTGAACTAAAATGCACTAAAGTACTAAACTATTGACGACACGTGTCTGCAGCATGATTAGACACACATTTATATAGTTTATCAGGAATAATAAGTTGATTTGGGGGTGACTTGCTCTTTAAAGCTGTGAATCTACACAACAAGCTAGGTTTGAAACACTCACCCCTCCCCTTGGGTATCTTCCCTGCATTTTGAGAGGATACAAGATGGCACTAAACACCAGTCACCAAAACCGTGATGGGAGCGTCTCCAATGTTAAAGTAGCAGTGTGTAGCTTCCTGCAGCTAGGCGGCAGTACGTGTGTTTCAGGGCAGGTTGACGCCATTGACTGTTGCTAGTTTAGAAAGGCATTATGGTAAATGTTGTTACCTGGGGAGCAGAAAGCATGTGACCTTGGCGTGACTCCTCATGGTCCTTCAGTTAATGCCATCGAGAGAATGCAATGCCGTTTACAGTTTAGAGGTGCCGTAGTTTCTGGTTCTGCTCGGGGTCCTGCGCCTGCCGATGACGCCACCATACTACGGCAATACCCCTCGGCCAAAATATATTGCGTCTCTTTTTTGATTCTGTTCTATGTTTACATTTGTTTATTTATTTATTTGTCAGACGCTTTTATCCAAATTTATTATTATTTTTAACCTTTAGGGCATGTTGTGATCTGTGGGGGAAACCGGAGTACCCGGAGGAAACCCACGCAGGCATGGGGAGAACACGCAACTCCACGCAGAAAGGCCGCAGCCGAGTTTCGAACCTACAACCTTCTTGCTGCGAGGCAACAGTGCTAACCACTGCGCCACCATGCAGCCCCAGTAAATGTGTTCTTTCACATCTGCTTTGGAAAGAGATTAGCCGTTTTGTTTTTAAGTTTGGGTTTCTTACTGCCTAAATCTTTGAGCATCACTTCTGTGAGCCGTACGTCCAGCCAATCATCTAGTGTGACATCATCACCAGGCGCAGGGCCACGAGCCGGCCAGAAGGAAAGATGGTGTTTAATATGGCCCCCGAGATGTTAGACCCGCGCCCTGTGTACTTCAGACCCGATTTTCATGGTTGTACGGTACGAAGCCGCCAATATTTCAACAACTGGGCATCATTTTATTCGTCTTCAACAACATTTCGATGGATTTTTCCAGAGATTAACGGTAAAAACTACAGATTGTCTCTTTAACAGAAAGTTATTTATTTATTTTTTCACTGACAGACTCGATGGAAGTGAAACCAATCATGACTCGAAAGCTGAGGAGACGGCCCAACGATCCAGTTCCAATTCCAGACAAGCGGAGGAAACCAGCACCAGATATCCTTCAGACAAGCTCGGGCGTCAGTCTCGACTTAATCCTGCTCGGGATCTGTACCGATGGAGCCAAATCTGTTTACTTCTTAACTCCTCAAACCTCAGCTAAATTATTTGTTGACAGATGAGCAGATAATGGAAGATTTAAGAACACTTAATAAGGTTTGTGGGAAGTTCCCGCAGCTCTGCTGAATCTCATGTGTTTGTGTTTGTCTTCTAAACATTTTTATGCTTTTCTTACAGCTTAAGTCTCCGAAACGACCAGGTACGTCAAAGACCCGCAACAGAACCAGTTCACACGTAAACGGATTTTGTGATATGTTCTGACTGTAATGAAAGCATCGCCTTTTCTCACCTGAAAGAACATTTTAAGGACTTTTACTCATCACTGGTCCTTTTCTTCTGGTTGCCTGGCGACCATTGCAAAAGTCGGTGCGTTTTCTGACCTAGAAATGATGCATGAAGCAATTATCCATAACAATACCATGTGTGTGTTTTTGTGCAGATCCAGTAATGTGTGAAGCATCGTCTTGATGGTTTTTTTTTCAGGTGCCTTGTCGCTAACCGGTTGTGTGTCTGTGTTTAGTGTCTCCCTCGTCTCCAGAACACATCCCGTCTGCGCCCATGGAGACTCCCTCTCAGCGTTACGAAGCCCGCATCGAAGACGGGAAGCTTTACTACGATAAAAGATGGTAAAAGAGCACGTGTTCAAATCTAAACGGGCCTTTGTGCCGCATGGTGTGGTGTTTCCTGGGGTGCCTACAGCTTTGGCCACCACTAGATGGCCACGTTGCCACGGGGTTGATGACTCATCACACGCAGGCCTGTTATATTTGAATAACTTGGAGTTTAGTTCTGGGCGACAGGAATAAGGACATCAGTACGAGCTGGGGGCTGACTCCAACTGTTAAATCCGTGTTCAGGAGCACGTCTGCATAGGGAAGCAGCTCCTGGCGCTGCTTTGGTACCCGAGTAAAGATAATAAGAGACCTTGACCAGACGCGGCTTCGACAGACACGTCGGCTCTTCTAAACGAGACGCCGCAATAAACTTCTCTTATGAGCTGCTGATGTAGACGGAAAGCTGAGAGGTTGAGAGGCACGGGCGCTCGTCTTTGAAGGCGAAGTCTCATTTACGAGAACACCGGCACACCTCCAAGAGCCGGAGGCAGAAACACGTGTCGTTCTTCCTCTGTGGGCTTAATGATCAAACACTTCAGTGAGTCTCGTCTCGCTCGTTTCTGTCCTTTTGATGTGTGGGGTCTTAAAATATGCAACGGGTTTTTGTTTTCACTTTTCAGTCCAGTTATCGACTCGGTTCGTCTCAGGAGAAGCTCCGTCTGAAGTGATATGGTTTTAAAAGGCGAGCCCTTGTTTCCCTCCACAGGTGATTAACTGTGACTTTACTGGTGACAGGTACCACAAGAGTCAAGCCATCTACTTGGAATCAAAAGACAGCACGAAGATCAGCTGTGTCATCAGCTCCGTAGGAACCAACGAGGTGAGTCTTGGTCCTCATGAAACTAAACGTCCTAAAAGACGTAGGAAGAGGTTTTTGGTTATTGTGTCGTTAATCTGAAGCCAAGAGCTTCCGAATCTTCTGTGGAATATTTATCGTTCAACTCGGATACAAATCTCCGATTATCACGAAGCTAATTAATAAAATACATATTTGATCAACTGAAAATTAAAGGAATTTTCTTGAATAAATAATAATGTAACTTTTCATTTATTCTTGCTCTTTTAGGGAACTGTTATGCATTTTTAGGTGTGGATTATGTTAATATTAGTCGTCGTGTAATCGATGTCGAGACTCGTTTACGGTGTTGAAATTTCTCGTGCGTTTAAAACGCCATCTCCCGTTGTCATAGAAACATGCTTTTTCTTTTACAAACGCCACATTTCACAGATGCTCCTGCTAGTATTCATCTAAGGAGGTGTTTCAGCCATTTTAAAGAGCAAGTCACCCCCTACCAGAGTCTTACTCCACACCCACTTCCTGTTTGAAAAATGCAACACATGCTGTTGCCTAGCAGACCGAGAGGGCGGAGCCACTAACAAATACACCCACACACAGGCTCACAATGACATTGTGACATCATATGGTACCAGCTAACATTCTAGGGTACCTCTTAGCCAATAGTGATGGCAGATTTAAATTCAAATGCAGTGCAGAGTTTTTACCTGACAACGGCACAACACTGACAGTTTCAGAGAGAATATTTAAATTTTAACTAAAATGCACTAAAGTGCAAAACTATTGACGACACGTGTCTGCAGCACGATTAGACATGCATTTATATAGTTTATCGGGATAATAAGTTGATTTGGGGGTGACTTGCTCTTCAAGCGTTTTCTGTGTAAAGGTAATAAATGACTACCACCTAACCTGAATGGCGTTTGTGTGGAGAGATGGGACTGATATGCTAACGGATGTCTGATGACCTTCATTGGTGTTTTCTATGATGGTTCCATCCCCCAAGATTTCACAGCAGTTCCTGCAATGGTAAACCTTCACAGCTGCTTGGGATTTAACTTAAATAACAAATATGAACGTTTAAATTCATCCTGAGGTAGGTTTCAAACAGAATAACGGCTTAAGCGACGGTGGCACAGGAGTTAAGTGCTCGCCCCGTAATCGGAAGGTTGCAGGTTCGAGTCCCGCTCAGTCTGTCACTGTCGTTGTGTCCTTGGGCAAGACACTTAACCCACGCTGCCTGCTGGTGGTGGTCGGAGGGACCGGTGGCGCCAGTGCTCGGCAGCCTCGCCTCTGTCAGTGCGCCCCAGGGCAGCTGTGGCTACATTGTAGCTCATCCCCACCAGTGTGTGAATGTGTGTGTGAATGGGTGAATGACTGATTGTGTTGTAAAGCGCCTTGGGGGGTTCCAGGACTCTAGAAGGCGCTATATCAAATACAGGCCATTTACCATTTAAGCCTGGTTCATGCTTCTGCGTCAGCTCCAACAGGGACAGACACGCACAGACGGAGACATTTTGCCCTCCTACTTCTCCGTCTCCTGGAGAGTGTTGCAAAGCAATTCCCCGGCAGGACAGCAGAGGGCGTAGCGCTGTTCTGTGGTATCCTGTCATGTATCGGTCCAAGATCGTGTGTTTATATTGTGTTTTTTGTATATAAGAGACTTTTAACACGGACAAATTTGTCTCTCATCCTCCTCCACCTCTTCATGCGCTCCCACCTCTAAACCCACGTTTCCTGTCATTTCCGTCCACAAATAAAACGCTTGCTGCGCATCTTTTCACTCCTCCAGTCACGGGGGATAAAACGTTCATGTTTTTAGAGTTTTTTCACGAGGTTTTCTTCAAGCTTCTCCGTGTCTGCCGCTAGTTATCCTCGGCTCTCTTTATGTTTTTGAGGGCGCAATGGCGGTGCTGTAGACGACAGCGGCGCCCTGACCAATCACAAGCTTGCGTTCTCCGTCTCTTTTTATTATTATTTTTTGAATACGCTTTGTTGACAAAGCACATAATACAAGTACAAATAAATAACAAGCACAATGTCAGGGAAAACAAAACAGTCTAACAGAATCACATGATATTGAACAGGGAACATAGGTTTATGGTTTTTATATATTGTCTGGTTTCATTTAAAAAGCACTGAAAGGAAGGTTTTGCATTAGAAAATTTTGACTTGTGTATATGAAATTTAGCTAATAATATCAATAAATTAATCAAATAAAATTTGTTTGCCCTGTGCTTGGGGTACTGAAAGAAACCAAACAATATTTCCTCAGAACAAAGAGAGAACTCAGAAAAGATTAAGGAAACAACAAAAACCCAAAATTCTTGCCAGAAAGGGTTTGTGTATGAGCATGACCAAAATAAATGAGAAATATCTTCCGTCACACGGTTACAAAATGTACAGTTAACATCAGTTTCCTTCTCCTAACGTATAAGAAAAGATCTGGTTGGGTAAAAACGATGAATAACTCTAAAAGAGATTTCCTTTACTTTATTTAATAGAAATTTTGACGGTAAGGTCCAAATCTTCTCCCATTCCAGGTTCTGGTATAAGTTGTTCCAGTAGGCGACAGCTGTTGGGATTGCGTTCTCCGTCTCGACAGACGGATGTTTAGAAAAGAGAGCTCGACTCCGTCTCTCCAGCAGGCCCGCAAGGACGTTGCGTGTCTCCGCGCAGACGCATGACTCAGGCTCTCAAGTTCCTCTACATAAGTTTTCTTTGTTGATTGAAGGAAAACGCCAACATTACCTTCTCACAGTTTACGGCTGGCAGAGGTTCAGACACTCTAGTAGGCTAACGAAGCGCTAGCGTGTCTCCACAGGAGAGTTGGAATGTTTTAAACCGGACGGTGAGAACAGTGTGACATCCGCTTGTGATGTGTGCATCCTGAGCATTCAGCGTGCTGGAAAACACCGAGCTGCATGATGAGCAGACTTAAAAACAAACTTTCTCCCTCAGCATGTTTCCCTTCAGGCGTCGCCATGGCGAATCATCGGTCTGCATCAAGTGCCTGTTCACAGCAGCATCTCCAACAGAAACACGGAGTCAGCCAACTGAAAGATGCGTTTAGAAACACAGAAATCACAGAAGGACAGCAGAACGTCGTGCTGGCCGTAGCGCCGCTTGCCCTTCCCGTCACGGGAACGTGCATCACTCAGTAGAGCCGCACAGTGAGGACGTAAACCATTTGAAATATGAGCAGATCTGCTACTTTTAAATATATTCATATTAACACGTTTTTTATCACTGTACCCCTAAAGTGATGCTTTTTGACAGATAAACTAAGGAATCGTCATAAATATCTAAATTATTTAAGATAGTTGAAGGAAAACTCGGATGTGTTTTCTCTTTTTCTTCTGTGATCGCTCGGGTTGGATTGGGACTCGATATCTGCAGATAATCAGAAGCACATGGGAGCAAAAGTGTGATCGGAACATCCCTACAGGCATTAACCGGAGTGTCCGGAGAAAACACACATGCATTAGGACAGGTGGGCAATGCTGGTCCTCGAAGGCCACTATCTAGCAGGTTTTAGTTGTTTACCTGCTCCAACACACCCGATTCCTGGATGAATCACCTGTTCAGCGGCTCATCAGGCTCTGCAGCAGCCTGTTAATCACCAGCAGATTTAAACCAGGTGCGTTTAAGCAGAGAAACACCTGCTGGACAGCAGCCTGAGGACCAGGAATGCTGCGTCATGAGAGCGTTCAGAAAGACCAGAGCCTGGGTTTGAACCCGTGACCTTGCGGCAAGACAGCAGTTCTACCAACTACACCATCGTGCAACACTGCCGTCAGTGTGAAAGTTTCTAAATGGAAGTTGCTGTGAAACTTTTGAGACTGGTTCTGATTAGTCAGCAGAAATTCACTTCTGTCCTGGACTGGCCTCTAAAGCGTTCGTCCTGAAGGACGTAAACTGTTTCTCTGAACTGAGGCCCTTCAGGAGGCTTTCCGTAAAGGGTCATTTATTCATCTTTTATCATTTTTATGCACATCAAAATGGCTGAAAGTCCCTGAGGGATTTACTTTCATGTGAAAAAGCTAAATGATGCTTGATGTTTCTTCTGCTCTGCATTGGAGTTTCTTTCTGCTGAGGCTGAATTATGTCATTTAACGTGGGTTTACATGGATACGCAGTGTCGCCGCCTAAATACAAAGTCATCCACGTCTGCAATGCAACAGATCGGTTCCGCTGAGTTGCCGCTCGGCTGAAGGCTGAAACAGAGAAAGCATCCCAGATTTAGTTGTGATCATCTCGTGTTTTTATTATGGGTTCAGTGCTGTCAGGGACACAGAAGACCGGATCTGTCACGTGTACGGTGGAGCGCTCTACTCCCACATGACGGCGTCTCTTCTGTGTTTGTATCCAGATCTGGGTGAGGAAAACAAGCGACAGTACGAAGATGAGGATCTACCTGGGACAGCTGCAGAGAGGAACATTTGTCATCCGTCGACGGTCGGCGGCGTGAAACGTTCTCCCAAACTGCCTTTTCACGCATTTGCTTGTTTATTCATCCCAGTTTTCCCTTGTTGGTCCTTTTTTATCGAGTTGACGTGTGATCTTTTATTTGTAATAAAACAAACTGTTCATGAGGATTTTCTTCTCCCGCAGCAACCAAATACAGCAGAAGTGGTCTTTGACACGGCTGGCATGTTTTCAGTATTATTTGCTGTTACTGCTGCCGTCACGACTGAAAAAAATACAAACCAACTTTTAATTTAAGCTCGTTTTTCAAATTTCAGCTGCAGCATTTCTCAAAGTGTACAAAAACAACCGACGGACGTTAAACTCCTAAATCCTACAAAGAGGTTTTCTATGATATTCTTTTTACTCTGTCAACGGCTGCTCGTCCTGCAGATGATTAATGTAAAATATGTTTAAATGCTGTGTGCATTAAAACTGGCCCTGCTGAAACAGATCCTCACCTCCATCCCTCTGTGTGTAACATCTCTGTTTGACCGTGCAGTTTTATTGAAGTTTTCTTTGTAATTAGTTGCTGTAGAAGCCAGATAAACCGGGTTATAGATGCATGTACTGTCTTCACATAAAATATAAAGTAATGATTGTAAAATGTATTCTACTGAACATAATAGATCATCATTCACAGCACAAACAGCTACATGTTTTCTTCAAGGTAAGCTGGAGCTTTCAACAAACACTTTAAAATGGATATTACAACTGGAGTTTAGGGCTTCTTGTAGGACTTAGTTATTAAATATGCTTATATTAGAGCAGCGTGTTGCATTCAGGGTCCGCGGGTCCTTAAAAAGTCTTAAAAGTCTTACATTAGCTTTTCCAAATTTAAGGCCTTAAAAATTCTTACAAATGACAAATAATCCTTAAATACAGTTTCCAAAGGTCTTAAACTACCAAAGACCCAATAAACAAGATTCTCTCATTTCTATTAAAATTTCGTGAATTTCTAGTTGGTGTTCAGCGGTTTTTTGTGTATGATGGTGGCGTAAGCGGAACCGTACACATTCAGCTGGTTGTGAAAGGGGGCTATTTTTAGATGAGCACATTAGCTGGTTAAGCTAGTGGGAGCTTGCGCCATGGGGAAGTGCAAGTTTAATGGTAACTGGATGGCTAATCCCACATTGGTGACGTGGTTAGCACCGGTTCCAGGCAATAGCTGGAAATTATAGCTTAAATTTAATTTAAAAAAATTGCTTAAATCTGGTCAAAGTGGCCTTAAAAAGGTCTTTAAAAGTCTTACATTAGCTTTTCCAAATTTAAGGCCTTAAAAATTCTTAAAAATGACAAATAATCCTTAAATACAGTTTCCAAAGGTCTTAAACTACCAAAGTCTCAATAAACAAGATTATTTTATTTCTATTAAAATTTCGTGAATTTCTAGTTAGTGTTCAACGTTTTTTTGTGTATGATGTTGGCGTAAGTAGAACCGTACACATGCAGTTGGTCGTGAAAGGGGACTATTTTTAGATGAGCACATTAGCTGGTTAAGCTAGTGGGAGCTTGCGCCATGGGGAAGTGCAAGTTTAATGGTAACCAGATGGCTAATCCCACGTTGGTGACGTGGTTAGCACCGGTTCCAGGCAATAGCTGGAAATTATAGCTTAAATTTAATTTTTAAAAAATTGCTTAAATTTGGTCAAAGTGACCTTAAAAAAGGTCTTAAAAAGTCTTAAAATTTGCTCCCTTAAACCTGCAGCTACCCTGTGCATTACTGCATCAGATTTATTTCTATAATATAGTGTATGTGGTCTAAGTGTGTTAGGACTGTCGTGTTCCTGTAATGTAGAACAGTCACGGGTGTCTGTCTTCCTACTAATGCTCAGAAAAAATAAAGAGGCTACTTTGTGAAGGAGTTAGGACATAATATATGATATAATATATAATATTATTCAATAATTACCAAAAATCGCCAGGGGAAATGTAATATTACATTTTTGTGATTTGTCCCACCGTTCAAACTGACTTACGGCGCTGGGATGTTTGGAACCATTAGTGAGAGCTCCATGAACCACGTGACCACGAGTCGGCGAGTTCAAAGTGTGTCGTAACTCTCTCTGGCGCCAGCTGGACCGGACCATTCCACAGTTTCACAGTCTGGCGACTGAGATGTTTGTGTTGCCCTTACTTAGACATTTTTCTTACAGTATTTACACAAAACCAATTTTACGCTCGAAAGACTAACAAATGATTTAAAATAAATCACAAAACACAGCTCATTGTTTAATATATGAACTCTCTTAATATCAAATGGTCTCCCCCAGAGCCGCGGCCGCCAAAGTCCCTCTTCAGGTGCACTGAACATTGATCTAATGCTTGCTGTTCAACCATTAAATCCAACCTTAATACGATGTTGATTCAATTGCGAATTTTCTACTTGAAAGTATTGCGGTGTTGATCCACTGTCCGAGTTTCAACCATAACTATAAATCAACCATTTAGACCAAAACTCAACATTGAAATAACATTTTTGCTATCTGGGAGCTTGCTGTTTATCTATTTTAAATCATCCCGGTATAATGGAGGCTCCGTGTCCACGGAGCGGTTAGCATCAACCTAAACAGCATCATATATGGAATGGGAAACGACAAAGCTGTTTTTGGAAGCTCAAAAGTCCAAATCAGAAGGATATAATCCCACATCACGCTGACAAGTCGGTGTCTTCATACCATCAATGTGACCGAGTCCCCTCACAGCTCCAGTCCAGGCTCTCTCAACCATCCCTCCCTTTTGTACACAGCTGAAATATTTGGCATTCAGTGCAGGTTTCCGTGGACCAAGCGGTCTGCCATTTCCCTCCTGTGTGTCCTGTCATTTTAACTGGATGGCGTGTTTCACTTTTCCTGACTTAATGACACCGCCTGGCAAGGAGGGCAATTATTTTCCCTGCTGCACAAATTCGAGGCTCGTGTGAAAAAGGCTCGCTGTCAAGAAGCCGGGGCGTGTGACGGCTCGGTGTCTTGCAGTGAAATGAGCTGATAGTCAATGTGATGCCTGTATGATTCTTTTATTGCATCACGTGCCTCGCTTTTGGTGGCGATCAAAATAACACACACAGGAGAGGTGTGGGGTGTGGCTGGCTTTTGCTTTTAGCCACTTCAGTCGGGGTGTTTCAGCTGATTTGACATGAGGGTGTGGGACAAAGTGGACATCTGTTCTTATACACGCCGGACACATACATGTGAAATGTCATTTCCTTGCCGCTTTTGGCCTTTTCAGTTCTCCAAGAAATCATCTTTAACCCCTGCAGACAGAAGTTAGGTGCTTTATTTAGGCCAGTGGGGCTTTATCTGCAGCACATTTCACACACAGAAGCAATTCAATGTGCTTTCCAGGAGCAAGAAGAGCAAAATCAATGTGACAGCATGATTAAAACACACAAAGGAATTTAGATCTAACTAAAAAAAGATTTTAATTCAGTTATAAGAATCATATGAAAGGGTGAGCAGTTACAGTGCAGAAGGTGCAGCAAAAGAGACATTTGGCTGATGAATAAAAAAGTTTTCGGTTTTGATTTAACCGTTTCTAGAGTTGGGGCAAATTTGAGTTCATGAGGAAGCTGATTCCATCTGTGTGCAGCATAGTAGCTAAAAGCAGCTTCACCCTGTTTGGTTCTGACCCGGTTCTACCAGCTGACTGCTTCTTAAAGCCTACTTCACACCGAAAGCATCGCTGCTTCAAGTAGAATCCATTATAGTCTGTGGAGTGTTTCGACCCGGCCGTGACGCACAACAACGTCCAGGCGCGTCTCAGAAGCGGCCCGCCACACGGGAAAGGATTGGGTTCTGTTTTTGACACCAGACGCTTTTGGGACATGCCAATTTCCACAATTAAAGCTTCTTTCCGGAGTATTTCTCTTGTCCAATGGCACCATCTAGTGGCTGACAAGCATATCACACTCCTGTTTTTTTAAGATGGCAACTTCACGTTGCTGTTTATAAATGTGCTTCTGTAGCCGACAAACGGAGCTAAAACACGTTGTTTTACGAGTATTATTCTCATGTCATGTTGTGTTCTCATATATTTATATTTTAGAGACTTACTTGTCCGTGAAAAGTTCATCAAGTCCGCATCAGCTGAGGTATTCCTTAAATTTAAAGTAAGTAAGCAGTAATCTAACACTTAGTTTCCTATTCACGTAGCTCTGCGGGGCAGGGGGCGTGCTTAGCAAAAATAAAATAAGCGTATTGCTTACGTTATATCACAGTACATGTTGAGACGATCACTTTTATGGTTTCTGGAAAATCATCCATAATTTCTGAAAGGGGAAAACTCCAGAAAGCTGCTTTAACATAGGGCTAGACAGGAAATCACACACGGCTTCAGTGTAAAATCCCTGGCAATTTTCAAAATAAAAGTACTGCAACAGTGCAGTTTCATATAGGTGAAGCTTACGCGTGACCCAATGGCTTATTTGCTCCCAGTATCATTCCAGAAGTGCAGCGGTGTGATTTTAATGACTTTCATCCTGGCAGAGGAGAGGAACATCAGGTACGACATCAAACAGCGACAGGCGTTCAACAGCGATTTCCTTCTCTTTGGTTTAATGGCCGACTGCATAAACAAACCATGAAGTTGGAAGTCTCGAGGGATGTTTTGATGCTGCGAGTCGAGCGAGGAAGCCGTTCAGTGGCCAAGACTCTCCGGTGTGGAAAGGACCACGCTGAAGCTCGTGGGTGAAACGTTGCGCGCTGCGCGATGCTACCGGTGTGAAACCGGGGTAAGGATCTCCGAGCCCTGCTGGGCGTATACACCTGAAGGAGGTCTGACATACGTCCTGGTCCCGCGCTGTTGAGTAGTTTATAAACTAGTGGAAGCACTTTGAAATCGATTCTGTAGTTTATTAGTAACCAGTGTGGAGAATTAGTGCATAATGCTTTATTATTTATGTCTACACAGTGAGTTAACCTTAAAGCTAGTATATATTTTCAATATTAACCAGATATCTGAGTTATTTTCAATGCAAACGACCACAAAAATACAAAAGACTGCATTCATGTACGTTTCAAAATAAATGTTCTTCATTTGCATAATTGATTAGGTGACATTGAATGACTGAGAACATTTAGAGGAGCATAAATTGGGTCTTGTTAGACAATGAATAAAAACAATTCAAGTGTTTGATGTAAAACATATTTATTTGAATTCATCTGATAAAATTTGTCATAAAACTTTCTGATTTATTCATTAGCAAATGTTTAGTAAAGAAATAATTATTTTTAGGACACATCAGCATTACTGTTGGATTATTTTGCTGAAACACGAGGAACGTTTGCTACGGACCCCGTAGATAAGGAACAGATGCTGATGGTTGAGAGGTTGTAATTAAATATAAATGAGCACAGATTACAAAACAACATCTATAATAATCTGTAATGTGATTGTGGTGAAAGCCCGATTCACTTGTTTGAGTCATCTAAAGAATCAGACTCTTCCTGCTCAACTCTCTAGTTGTGC